ACAGACACATTAGATTCAGATTTGTTCCTGTGGGACCCACACAGTGTTCAACTATGTTTCATATGTAAATATCTCTATCCTCATTACTAACACATTAAGTATTTAAAAACTGTATACATAAAAGAATGTGAGCTTGCTGGTGCCTGAAAACAACTCCTATGGACTTCAGTGGGAGCTCTCTTTAATTTGGCCCATAATTGTGTTTTTAATTAGTCCCATAAAGTGGCACTTTTTTTAAACGTACAATTATAGTAAATCTAGGTTTTGAAGTGTGCAATAGGATTGTATTTGTAATTATAACTCTAAACAGCTCAAAAGCCATCATCAGGATTTTGGATGGATTTGGGGGTGGAAGCATGAGAATAGGCCAACCACAAAAGGTAGAGGAGAAAAATAGAATCAAGAAACTGAAAAGCATGTTTAAACGATTTATAGAGCAAAAAATATTTGTGCATGAGAAATGAACTGATCTACCAAAACAATGCTGGACACATTTATAGCACACACAAATTGTTTAAGGATGGGTGTAATCTAAAGCTTCAAAGCAGAGTCTTAAGTGCAGACATAGCTCATATTACAAATTGCAGTCAGTATGTACAATACTTGCTTGGAAACACTTCTACAGTCTACATGTTCAACAATGACATTTCATGTCAAATCAACACAGAAATTTGCACTAAAACACCTGTGAAGTATTACTATGCTTTAGCTTTGTTGTGTTTTCTGAACAAATTGTGAGAATTCTGTAAAATAAAAAAATACTATTGAATTTATTCAGATAAGCTAAAATGTTTTAAGAACTGAATGAACAACTATGTAGAATGTCTCTTTTTGGAATTTATACACATAAAATACCATTTCTTCTGAGAAGGTTATGTATGATTAATCTCTATGTTCATATAGTAATGTACAAAATTATAAACAATGTATAATTGTGGGGTTTGTTTTATTTTTTAATTTTTCAAATGTTTTAAAGTGCAATTGTTTCTTATACTGTCATTTTAATTCCTATTAAATTATAATCCAGTCAGAATTAACAGATGATGTATGTATTCACTGTTTCTTTCTGTTAATGGTATAGTTCAGGTGTACTTTATAAATAGAACATTCAGTACTCAAGGTGTCTTGCTATGTGTTTTTATCAATAATAAAACAGGGTAACAGGACCTATAATGAAGGGATACATTTGTGTATTTTCTATTTTATTTTCATATTTTGATTGTCAGATTTTAATGTAAATGGTTCATTGTTGGAAAAAGTTGTTCTATTTCAATAAAAAAACCCTACATCTGTTTTTGTAACAAGAAAGGTGCTTCCTGAGTTTAAAATGCATCTTTTGTGATTTTGTAAATTTAGATTTAACATTTATCAATTTCACATCACTGAAGATATTACTGAACTAGAAAAAAATGACTGACAATATAAAATACATTTCAACAGCTTTTTATTAATTGTTTGTGAAGGCGTTTCAAGTGTCACTATAAGCTACACTTCATCACATTTGGACAGATGTAAATTGAGTCTTGAGTATTACACAATGATCCAAGCCAATCAGTACAGGCAGTCCCCGACTTACGCGGATCCGCACTTACGAACTGGGCTCTCTCGCCCCGGAGCTCACAGGCAGCGGTCAGCCACCTCGACCTCCGGGGCGAGAAAAGCTGCTCCCGGTGCCCCTGGTCTGCTGGGGACCGTCTCCAGCAGACCAGGGGCATCGGGAGCAAAGCAGCATCCCTGGCGGGTTTGCTGGAGACGGTCTCCAGCAGACCAGGGGCACTGCGAGCAAACCCGCAGCCGTGGCGGGGTCCCGCGCTTCTGAGGCTTTGCTCTGGCAAAGCCTCAGAAGCGGGGGAACACGCCGCTGCTGCGGGGTTGCGCGCGGTGCCC